TTTAGTCTTTTTGGGTAGCTGTTTTGATTGTTCTCGTGCGTCTGAAGTTTGGCCTTTGATTTCTGTTTCAGGAGATTCTGATAGAAATCTTTTGTTGGCACCATGTGGAGCACTTAATACATATAAACCTTCCTTAAAAATCACTCTATCTATTAAAGAAAACCCCATCAAAATCCGTTGCGTAGTTTTAAAGATCTAAGCATACATAGGGACAGATAGACGATGGATAGCGACTTTGTTTTATACTATGTAGTGAAGCCCGTAACCATAAATTATACAATAAACAATGATTACTTTCTTTCATCGTGATAAGTATCGTCATAATATAGATACAAAACGCTTGTTCTCTTAAATCAAACCTCAGTCTTCAAAGTTGAACCGCAACCATTATGCTATTATACTGGGTAGGTAGGTACAGTACAACTGTGTACCAAGCGGACGGTTTGCAAACTGCAAATATGGCGAATATTGAAGACGCTGACAAACGTATGCTGTGTGCCATTGTTACTATCATCAACAGCCTATAAATGCCCACTGCTGAGCAAAGCCTCTTCTCACACGGAGAAAGTTAGAGCATTAATCACCACGCTTGCTCAATGCGGGTTGGCGATTTCAAACTTATAATTAGAAATTATAAGTCCAGGTTTCCTCACGATGTTTTTCCTTCACCGTTTGTCAGTGGTGTCTAAATAATCTTAGAAAGTACATATAACTCGGAAAAAGTCACATTGGTACTTGCCGTTGGAAGGTTTCGAACCCGCACCCTCATGCATGAGAAGTGGGCGTCTTAAACCTCCGGGCCACCACGACACTACTGTGTCTTGTTACTATAATATCTTCTATTACAAGATAGTGTAGTATGTTTCATTTATTGATAGTGTTTACAGTCAAAATTATACAGAAGAGAAGGAATACTTAAAAGCTTCACTGAGTAAAAAAACTATACAGATGGCGCTACAGTCGTTTTTCATTATTTTAATAAAATAGTAAATCCACCAGTTAACAAATATATTTTATATCAACAACAAACGAATATTGTTATTGTTGAAAAATAAATCAGCTGTATTCAAAAACCGAGTACCAGTGTATTTGTTACCACTTTTATAGCAATATTTTTCGATTGTTAATCGAACAATTGAAAAATATTGCTGTAAAGCTTGATGCATGAATAGCGACTGTTTCTATGGCACGCAATCGTGTACCCTACGCATTACAATTGAAATGTATACGTATTATGTGTATTTACGTAAACACAGACCCGTGAAACGAGACAGATTAAATTAACCAAATAACACGGGCGTCAACAAAAGACAGACGTCTAAACGGGCATAATGTTGCCTGTTTTGTCAGAACAGTCTGCGGTTGCCTATTGTAACACGTCGAAATATACACGTCGACCAACCACCAGTGTAAACTGACCTTGACTCCTCAACAAACCCACCAAAATTGTAGGCAATACTGAGAGATCAAGAGAAACTGGACAAATGTATACTCGACACCAGACATCCTACAATGCATGTCTCATAAAGAAATTACAACTTTAGTGCCACAGCATTTAAGTTGATTTTTGTTTGAGATGATCTTAAACACAGCGGTCTACTACTACGCCTTATCTCTGATTAAAAGACTTAGTTGAATTCAATATTTTTTTGGATATCGTACTAATGAGGGTAGGGGAAAAGATTGAAGGAAAACATAAGAACATATTATAAAAGATTGTTTAATGTTTTAAATTCGCTTGAAGTGAATATTGAGTATAAAATATAGCAGCATTAGTTCATGAAGGATCTAACCAAAGATTTTTTTATAGTCTCACTAGTGACCATTCGAACGAGACAAGAAACACTAACTCAATAGTCCAAACCTCAGTTATACTAATTCGTGCTGATCCGGATTGCTAACCGCGATCAAATAATGTAGTGAGATAGTAGTAGTAGTAGTAGTAGTAGTAGTAAGTCCATAGCATGTGGTATTCTACAGTATTCTGGTCTTTGGTAAACGAGGTAATAACTTTTCATTCCATATAATATCTCGTTATGGAATTGGATAAAAGACAAATTTCAGTAGATTATCTTTTTTTAAGGGGGAAAATCATCGAATGTCTGCTCCCGCCCGGGTGAGGCGGGAGGGAGTGTCAGATTCTTACTGACCGCGTTCCTTCTCCTGCACTTCGAGCCGGAGCCCCGGTAACCCGTTAGGTTCTCCGCGACCAGTAGATTATGTTAAAGATTGATCTTAGAAAAACATCGAATGAAAACCGTTAAAACATTAAACTGACGTTATGTAGGTATAGAACTTTGAATAGCATATAAAAATAATCAGCAAAAACATGTTAATTGCAAATATTCTACAATTCTAAATACAGTACACCTTTCTCAATAAAGATACTTTAATTATTTGAATAAAGTTGTTTATCTATTGTATAAACATAATATGTGAAAAATTCTACATAGTAAGTATATTTCAAGTTTTTCAATAAAATATGTAAAATATATACCGTTTAATAAAGTATATGTTTTTATAATAACTATCGTGAGACATACTAAATCAACTAAAAATCGCGGGTTACTCACGTGAATATGCTGAGAAATGCTCTACTAGTTTCGAAGCACAGAGGGGTTCTTCCTCATGAACAGCGTGCGCGGTCCTAGTCGAAACTAGTACTAACTACTACAAGTAGTCAAAACTACTGTAGTTTGAAACTAGTAGAGCTTTTCTCAGTATATTATTCACGTGAGTAACCCGCGATTTTTTGTGAATTAAGTAGGTATATCTTTATATCTTTATATAGGTAGATATTTATAAAAAATATCTACTACATAAAGAAAATATATAAAGAATAATATGAAGAATTCTACATAGTAAGCATATACACTAGACGTTTCTCAATACAATATGGAAAATGTATACCGTGTATGTTTGTACATTTTCACTTGTTAATGACATTTTAATGTTGCAGAAAAACTTTCAGAATACATACGTTGTATTGAATACGAGGTCACAATGAAATATGAGAAACTATGTATTTTCAAGTCCAGAAATTGTTTACTCATAGACAAAGGAATATGGAATGGACATTGAATTATACAATAGCAAACATCACGGTTATATGTATAGATGTCGTGGTGGTCCGGAGGTTCAGGTTTAAGGCAGCCGCTTCTTATGCATCAGGGTGTAGATTCGAAACCTACCAATGACAAGTACCAATGTGACTTTTTCCGAGTGATATGTACTTTCTAAGATTATTTAGACACCCTTGACAAACGGTGAAGGAAAACATCGTGAAGAAACCTGAGCTTATAATTTCTAATTGTAAGTTTGAAATCCCAACCCGCATTGAGCAAGCGTGGTGAGTAATGCTCAAACTTTCTCCGTGTAAGAAGAGGTTTTGCTCAGCAGTGGATATAATATATAGGCTGTTGATGTGTCACTATTATTATCAGAAGGGAAAATGCCTACTAAACGATTTTCCATACATATTTCTTTATTAATTTACCCGGACATACAAAACCTGCAGCGTTTTCACGAAACTGTTGCGTTCTTAATTGAATATTGTTAGTAATCTGATTATTGGTAGACTCGCACCACCATCGGACATAAAACCAAACTATTTACCACCTTAAACATTTAAAAATAGAGTCGAAAGTTGCCTTTGATTCTTTTACAGACACCGGCAAGTCAAACTACTCGAATTTGTGAATTTTTTATTGGATTTTGAACTCTATATCACAACAATAAAGTTGAAAAAGGTTTGTATACAAAACGTTCTGTGGTTATCGAATAGTGGTGTCCAGTAAACGCGAACCAATTCGATCATTTGCGGCCAACTGATACTTAATGCGATATCAGATTATTTTGGTCGAGTATTTATTGAGGAAAGATTTCATGTTAATATTGGCTTACTGTATTTTAATCCCATTTATTGTTTTAAAGCTTGGTTGAAAGTGATCGAGTATCTTGTATCTGTTGTTACGTTGTATCAGACATTTTGTTTCTTTATTTCAACTCAACATAACATAATATCAGAGGTGCATATTACGGTACTTAATACCACTGTACAATGTAGTACTCACTTTTCATTATTTATGTTATGAGTACCATGTAATAGGGGGTGAGCCTATTGCCATATATTGGGGTGAGCCTATTGCTATATATTGTCCACAATTCCAGGCTCCGTGTTACAACTGGCCATTTATTTTCAACTCAACAATTTTTCAACACATGATAAGACTTGACAATTGCTCAACATAGTAGCTATAGTAATTTAAATCATTAGGTAAAAATGAAGCCTGTCTAATCTCTAATTCGGTCCAAGAAACATATTCCATACTTAGCATTTTTCTTACGATAATTAAATAAACTCAACAATCGTTCCAATCCAAAACCAATATTAATACAATACCCATAAAGTTTTAATTCGATTATCCCAAATCCCATAGTCCATGGTATTTTTATATCCAAACAACCTCAGTTAATCTGTCAAACACCAAGCGGTCACCGGTGACCGCGACCTATTGTTCTTTAATTGTGTCCATAAAACCGGTACTCGACGAGTTAAAGGGAAAATGCGGGTGGTATATTTGCCAATTAAAAAAAGGGATGGTTGTCAGCAAATATTTGTAGCGTTCGCATATTGACTCATGTCTATCCGAGCGCCGTCGAAATAGGCTCATGGCAGCGAGGTCTTTTTGTCAATATCGCATTATATTATATTTGTTAAATCGGATTTTATTATTGTATGTCGATAGTGTAGGTCTATTGTATAGTGGGTATGGATTGTAATGTTGTAGACGGGTTAACCAATGGAGGGTGAGTAGTGTAATCCTTGTTATCCTCATCTTTAGATTTTACAAGAGGTTTTATATTTTATTAGAAATAAAGTTTGTGGTGGTGTTTTTTTTATGGTATAAGCCGATAAACGAGCAGACGGATCACCTAATGGTAAGCAATCGGCGGCGCCCAGGGACACCTAAAACACCAAGGCGTTACAAGTCCGTTACCGGCCTTTTGGGAATTGGGAATTTGAGGATTGTGGAGGATTCGGGTATTGGGGAGATTTGGGAGGGGTGTAATTAGGCCTCCGGTAACATCACTCACACGACGAAACCCAACGCAAGCGTTTTTCACGTCGGTTTTCTGTAAGGCCGTGGTATCACTCCGGTCGAGCCGGCCCATTCGTACCGAAGCATGGCTCTTCCACACATATATTGCATTGCAACATAGTGTATTTACGGAATGGTTTTGTAAAGAAATTGTTAAGAGGTTCGAGAGAAAGGTTTCACATAATGTTTCTAAGATGAAATTAATGTATTTTATGTCTACAATAGAGTCGTGGTGGCCCAGAGGTTTAAGACGCCCACTTCTCATGCATGAGGATACGGGTTCAAAACCCACCAACGCCAAGTACCGACTTTTTCCAAGTTATATGCACTTTCTAAGATTATTTAGACACCACTGACAAACGGTGGACGAAAACATCGTGAGGAAACCTAAGCTTATAAATTCTATTCGTTTGAAATTGGCAACCCGCATTGAGCAAGCTTGGTGATTAATGCTCAAACCTTATCTGTATGAGACGGGACGTTTGGTCAGCAGTGGCCACTTATTGGCTGTTGTTGATGTCTCCCCTATAAATATTTACAAACATCATCAGATATCTTGAAATCTTGAAATCTAGTTACCAATGTATTTGAAAACCTATTAATTATTTTAGCTTAATTTCCATGATACCAAACAACCAGTTATTGTCATTGAATCACTAATGCAATTAGCCGTTATTCATAACTTCCGTCTATATATTAATTATGAATTTTTAACCTGAAGTCTCGAGTTCAGGTTTTATTCCAAAATCACTAAATGAATTTTCTCTGTCACTGTCTTCAAAAAGTAATATGATATGTATAAAATAATAATAAAACTTTATTCATAATAACAAAAATGCAAAATACAAAAATATATCTTAAGTACGTATGTACAATTGATTTCACATAGTTTGATCCTGTATCGAAGGCGAGAGGACCTCTAAATATAATTCTTACAGTAAGACATCTTATTTCTATAAACACCAATACTTATCATTATGTAACAGAGCCGAATGATATTTATGTCTGTATATTTTTTTTTTATATTTGATGGGTCAACGTTTGGCCACTATCTCGCCTGGTGGTAAGCGATGATGCGGTCTACGATGGAGCACGTCGTCCCATAAGCAACCTATTCACTCGGGCCTTGAAGACTCCTAGGTTCCCTTCAGGAAATACAGACAATATATAAATGATAGCAAAGCGCAACTTACAAAGCAACACTTTGATAGGTCACTCTTAAAATTACTAGATGAGGGCTGGCATTTCCTAACTGACTACTCTAAGAAGAAAGTCGAAACAAACTCAGAGGTCATTATCTCTTGGCATTGTCTATTGTCAATATATCTATGTATGAAGGCCTGAACTACCTACATGGAGTTTCTTGCTCGTTCTTCTCCATCCGAATCTACATTTTGGAAAGAACACCTAGCTTTACCTAGCTTCACTGACGGACTGACTGACGGACTATTATTTATTTTGTATGTGTTGACGTTTCAAAAGTACCAAATTATGGTTTAATTGAAATAAATGCTTTGACTTTGACTATAAGTCGTGGTAAATACATCCTTCAAGCCCTTTTTTTAAACGACTTCAAAATAGAAGGAAGTTCTCAGTTCGTAACAAAGCCTTGCTCACCCAGCTCGAACCAGTTCACCCATTCACTCTGACTTTTACAAAAACTCAACAACACTAACAGCATTCTACAACAAATAGGGGGATAACTCATTTATTTACCTGTTTCAGCGTCATTCCCCGTGTCATTAGCTGTGTCATTAATATTATGTGATATCCGTGCATTAATTCAGTTTAGCGCAACTCCCTGATATATCGTGTCACTGACAGAGTTCAGTTTAGTGACGGCTCTGTACCGTCCCGTGTTGTAATTAATATGTGCATGTGCATGCTTGTATTAGTGTGGGTTATGTGTGGTGTGTATTTGCGTTTATGAGGTGGGTTTAAATGTTTATATTTTAAATTATATTAATATTTTAAATACGATGACTGCCTCGTTGGTCGAGTGGTTGCAAGTGCGACTGCGACAAGGGGTCTCGGGTTCGATTCCCAGATCGGGCAAAGTATTACTGAGTTTAAAAAAACTCTATACAGCAATAGACTCACCCCCTATTACATGGGACTCATCATAAAAAGTGAAAAAAAAAACAGTCAAGCTATTTGTGTATAGTTTTGTTGGACATGGCGTTACATTGTAAAGCCTACAATGTACCTTTTGACTTTTAACTTTGACTTTGACTTTAGTGCTTCGTGATCTTATTGACATTTTTGAAAATCGACTTACATGTTGTTTATCGTTAACAATATCTGACTAGGAAATCAAAATCAACTCTTTATATCATAGCAACCACTCGACTAATTTTATCTTTTCTAGCTACACTAGATTGCGAAGTCGAAAAGTTCTCCAACTCATTACACTAATATTACAGACGTTAAAGTTTCTTTGTTTGTATGTTTCAATGTTTGGATGTTCGGATGTTTGGATGTTCGGATGTTTGACTGTTTCTCTGTTTGGATGTTTGGATGTTTGGATGTTAGTCCATCAATCACGTTGAAACAACTATATAAACGCATTTTGATGCAACATATACAGGCAGGGTATGTGCTGACTTAGGTTATACGATTTTTTATCCCAATTAAATGCTCCTATGCGATAAAACAGGAATACGCGGGCAAAGTCACGGGTAAAAGCTAGCTGATTATAAAACCGTTAATCATTATATGTCACTACTAACTGTAATTTATCTATGTTTGACATATAGTATATAATAGCATATAGTTCCAATGAAATTATTCGCTCAATCTACGACGTCTGAGAGTTAATTGGAATCTGAATCATTTCACGCTTGCTTCGGCATCAACTGTCAATTTCATTGTTACTGGATTGATCCCAATAGGCCAAGTGCCGGGGCAGCTACTGTTTAATTATGTTTAGTTTGTAATTTAGATATTTTAGTTATTGATGAACATTGACCGCAATTCACGGGCAAACTTAATATATTTTTTTTTAAACCGTATTCTTATATTATCTTGTATTGTTTTGAAGATAGCAAAGAGAAAGAAGCGATGGATAGAAGAAAATTTTCTAGATAACTTCAATATATTGTAGTTGTAGTAATAGTAGATAAATACATTAAAACACTAGTTTAGTAAGGTACTAATTTAAGAAACATTTATATTTTTATGAATTTAACCGGTAAACGAGCAGACGGCCTGATGGTAAGAAATCGGCGCCGCCCATAGACACCCGAAACACCGGAGGTGTTACAAATGCGTTACTGGCCGTTTAGGGATTAGGAATTTAAGCATTGTTGGGGATTCGGGGATTGGGAGATTACGAAATACAACACAACGCAAGTGTAGTCTCACGTCGGCTTTCTGAGAGGCCTTGGTATCACCCTGGTCGAGCCGGCCCATTTGTGCCAAAGCATGACTTTCCCACACTTATATCTAGAAGAGCCTCATTAAACTCAATACTATACTTTAGTTGTATTTACAAGTACAAATAACACGAAAATTAATATAAAAGTTATAAGCAAACATTCATAAAGACATTTCATAAAATTCTAACATTTAGCTTGAATTCGTCAGTGAAACTGACTCTAAACCAATCAATACATGAATGAACCAAATTAAATGACGTTAACGCTAAGAAAAGCTTTTGTAAACAAAAAAAAGGGATTTTTAAGCAAAACATTATTAAAATTATTATAATAGCCTTTCAAATTAGTGGAATAGCTTTCCACTTATCTTTTACGAACATACATACGATTTAAGGGGTGGCCTAAAATGAATATATTTAAAAGGGTACACTTAATGACTACCATTTTCCCGAACAGATATGAAAAGCGCCAGATTATTGCCCTCTGGTTGTGATAAAGATAAAATTTTCCAGTCGAACAAGAACTCTATTGCGGAAGCAAGAAGGTATAAATTAAAATGGAAGATGACATCTGTGTTTGATTTAAAGTAGTATGACACTTTTATGTAAATGTTTAGGATTTTTGTGATGTTAGATACTTTCGTTTTGGGTTGACGCTGTGTTCCATAGAATTGCTCTACAGAGAGAAATATGCATGCAAATTGGATATTATTGAGGATGGAATTGTCACTTCAGCTTCGTGGAAGTATTCATAAAAATATAGCGATCATAGTAAACGCTTACATATTGCTCTTTCTGCCTTTATTTTTTTCTTTGTTATTTCTTCTATTGCTTGCGTGACAGACTAAGAAAAGCATTTTTCAATTTTTCAATTCCATTTTTGATACCAAAGAGTACTGATATCTGTCAAACGTTTAATCCCTTACACTACCTTGTAATTCTATTAAAGTGATCTATAAATATTAAATTGACTGCACGGCTGGCGCAACTGGCTGCCGCGCAACGTGTCGTGGGTTCGATTCCCGCACAGAACAACTCTTTGTGTGATCCACAGATTATTGTTCCGGGTCTGGGTGTCATGTGTATGTGAACTCGTATGTTTGTAAATGCACCCACGATACATGAGACAATCACAGTGTGGGGCAATGTTTTTAAAAGAAAAAAACAAATGACAAACAACTCTAATTTTAAATACACGAACCTATGACCTCTAATAACGTCAGAAATCAATTCCAAAATGACAGCGAACCCTGTAAACACAACTCTATACATTTATGCAGACGCCTCGACACTGACAGAGATTGATGCTGTCTTCGTAAACGGATCTCTCACAAACAAGCACAAAAAAAGTTAAACAACCATGAATTAATGTTTACTTCTGACTTTTCAATGCATATTTTATTTATCAAGATTTATTAGGCTTAGTCAGTGTCCTTATGACTTATCGTGAATTCGCGATCGTTGCTGAAATACGTTTAAGAAAGATGGCACCCACTAACATAAAATAATTCATACATAATCTCATGCCTGCCTCCTTAAGTAGAGACTATAGAATGCCAATTTTTTTTTTATTTGTTAAGCCGACGTTCAACTCGTGGTATGCGATGTTGTGGTCTACGATGGAGCTCGTCGACCCCTAAGTATCCTATTCACTCGGGCCTTGAAGACACGATATCATAACATAATGTCTCGTACTTTTATTCCTGGAGAAGTTGCATTCATTATTCACCAGTTATTCTATGTAACACTAACCCTCGATATAATGGTCAATAAATATACGGTTTAAATTACTAAGATTTTTTGAACAACCGAAACAAAATCACTTTTCCCAATCGTAGAATGGTATGGAAGACAACATGGTTTAACCTTGAATGAAACTTTGTGACGATGTGATAATTCAGCTGATTTGTAGACAGAAAGTCCAATCACTGTAATCGTTTAGTCGCGCGATGATCGCGTATTCCCGTTATATTAGAACAGAGCCTTATGAAAACGATTTGTAATTTTCTCATCGTGTCAACAAACAGGGGTGGGATCGTGATAAAACTTCGGAACAGATTAAAAGTTTATAATGACGAATAATTAACTCGGTGGCGGTTTGTTTTATGGTTACAATGTGAGTTTTATTGCGATTTACCATAAGGTTGAAAATGGATTTCAGTCTGCGCTGTTGCTAAGGCAACTTTTAGTGGTTTTTGTCAACACTTTATACACTGCTTTCCATTCACGTTTTTGAAACCGATTTCGAATTAAAATATAACTTGTTAGTCGTAATGAGTTGACAAAATAGTTTATGGGAGGTTTAACAACATAAGTAACAACAATTCATTACTCATAAACAACTGTCTTCAACTCCTGGGAATAACAAATACTATATAATATCTTCAAGTACTTGCTACATAACGTTGCCAACTCGATACCCTAGAGAATCATCTCAATCGATTCCCGAAACGTGTTCGTATATAATCGCGTGTCAATTTACAGATTAACGTCTATAAGTTCATTGAACCTTGTTATTAGTTCATCCCATATTTCATCCCTTTGAGGGAGTGGCTTCAATGTATTAGGAACAAAGGTATGAGTCTTTATCTTGAATGTGTTTGAACTTGATATATTACAGAAGTTTAGGATTTCAATTTTTGGTTTACGATTCATAGGCTTTTGTATCATAAAAAAAAATAAGTTTCTTCAATAAGGGCTCTCACCGCATTAATTGTCGCACTTGTTGTTCATGGCTGTGGGCCCCTGTTTGACTTGAAACTAGTCGAGTATCCTTGTCAAATAGTTACATAAGTGAGCCGAAAAAATAAAGTTAAAATAACTATTTAAGGACGCTTCGTTTCGTGCTTATCACTACTAAACTAAATAAGTTGAATAAATGTTTTGGAAAAACAATTCTTTATAAAAAAAACATTAATGTAAACACAAATAGAAATAAGATACCCGAATTAATTATCATAATATTTACATTTTTTAATTAAGCAAATAAACTTATGTTCATTATCATTATATTAAAAAAGAAAGGTTAACAACGCTTTATGAGGTATTACATGATGATATATTTAATATTTTATATGAATAAGCTGTAAAATTGTTGAATAAGTTGTAATGATGAAAATGTTTATAAATATAGTTAAATAGTATCTTTTCGCCCTCAGGGTCACAAAGACTTTTAGGTCACTTTTAGTTCATAAAGTTTTTTAAGGGGGGAAATTACCGAATGACTGCTCTCCCTCCCGCCTGGGTGAGGCGGGAGGGAGTGTCAGACTCTTACTGACTAAAAACCACCCCGTTCCTTCTCCTGCACGTCGAGCCGGAGCCCCGGTAACCTGTTAGGTTCTCCGCGAAGGGGTCACAAAGACTAAATCTTAAAGTGCAACAAAACCATCTCCGCAATCCCTGAAACTCCAACAATCCTCAAATTCCTAATCCCCAAAAAGCCGGTAGCGCACTTGTAACGCCTCTGGTGTTTAAGGTGTCCATGGGCGACGCCGATTGCTTACCATCAGGTGATCCGTCGGCTCGTTTACCGACTTATCCCAAAAAAAATATCTTTATCACATACATACATTTTGACTGAAGATTACGTAAACCTAGCCAATACATGTTACCCACAACTTAATACTAAATAAACTTTACGGCACGCCAACATCTATTAGACAACAAACATGAAGAATATAAAGCAGTTTGTGGACATTTTTTATCCGCAATATAAACACATGGTTTTACTCGCCTCCCATATTTACTGAGCACATAAACTCAACACGTCTCGTGGAGCATTTCATGTTTGTGATTATGAAAAAAAGTTTGTCCCGACATATACAAAGGATGTAGTTTACGACTGTCGTGTATAAATAGACAGGGTGTACTTGTTTGAGTTTTGTGTATTTTCTGTAGAGACGCTATATGTGGTGGCAACAGCAATATACTTTTGTCAAAGTGTGTGTAAAAACTGAGGGAGTACACACTTAAGACAAACTAACACTATTGTCATTTATGCTGTGATCTTTAACCTGTCAGCTAGGCTAGAAGATTATTATGATGAACCTTCTTGTGCTGAGAAGGCCCATAATTTAGTAATGAACTATCTCGGACTATTGGTGATGATGATGATGTAAGTCAAAGAAGCATATTGTATATCTATTAGACTATATATATTTAAGTGTGGGACAGCCATGCTTCGGCACGAATGGGTCGGCTCGACCGCTGTGATGCCACGGCAGCAGAAAACCGAAGTGAAACAACGCATGTGTTGTGTTTCGTCGTGTGAGTGAGGTCACCGGAGGCCCAATTACCCTCCCCCCTTCCCCAATCCTTGAAACTCCAACAATCCTCAAACTCCTAATCCCAAAAGGCTAGTAACGCACTTGCAATGCCTCTGATGTTCCAGGTGTCCATGGGCGACGCCGATTGCATACCATCAGGTGATCCGTCTGCTCATTACCGGCTTATATCATAAAAAACAATATATATATTTAAAAAGTATAGAAAAATACTGAGTGAAACAAAAAATATTGAAAATCAAACAGAATTACGAAAACCCATTTCGTATTGTCGACAAAATGTTGTCAAGTCCTCTTTACAAGTTGTTGATATAAAATCTATACAAAACCTTATTCGGAAACGCGACTAGAATATATAAACAACGTTTATTCTGACTTTCAAACTCATAACACAACTTTGAACAACAAATTTTGACAATCATGTAGCGTGGCTGAAAACCAATGAAAGTTACTCTTGAGACAAAGTCGAGCAAAGGCATTTCATGTTATTAAGTTTCTTTTGTGTATGATACGATACAAATAAATAATATATATTATAAATTACTTTCATATATGAATAATAGGTACCAAAAAAAACAAATAAAATGGATGTAGCTTCGCTACGACGTAGCAGCCCGCTACGCCGTAGCACAAGCAACCGATTTTGAAATGGTTAAAATTAAAACGTTATCTACAAATTATGTTTTGGTACGGTGATGACGACGATGATTAATTATTTATAGTACTTTCCAATTTCCTTATTCATATCATTGATGTATTCGTTTTAAACACATTTATAGTTCTTT